TAAAGTATGATGGTGAGAGATATTTTCAAATTAGATTTGTTTAGATAGACTTTAAAGATTTTTAAATTTTAAAATTGGATATTGAGAGACAAAAGAAAGATTTTAACTAAATAAATAGAAATCAAATTTATTAATTTTATCTATTTGTATATCTGATTTTTAATTTTGAATATAATATAATATAATATAATATTATTTAATTTAATTTAATATAATATAATATTATGAAGACAATCTTGGAAATTACTTGTTATATCCCACAATATATTTTGTAAAACAAATATGCATAACATATATCCAATCTTATATATCAAGTCAATAAACATGACTTGAGGGATATACTATCCAATACTTATATCCTATTCATTATATATCTTGACTAAATCACATATCATATTATATCCTCTATTTTATATTCAGTGAAACAAACGGGGCCAAAATGTATTAAAAACAAAATCAAATTACAGAATAATGCTTTTGATGCTTTGATTAGAAAAATGTATGGATTAATTTGACATGTGATTATATATATATATATATATACATAGGACTGTTGTATTATTATTATTATTATTATTATTATGTTGGGTCAAGATAGTATAAACAAATGAGATAAAGAGAGAAATATTTTTTAGGATAAATTACATTGACAACCCTGTGATTTCTATTTAATACAGATTCCTCTTTCACATTTGAAAAATTATATTTTCTTCATGAAATTTGTAATATCATTACAAATTACTCTTGGATAGCTAATGTCATGTCTTAAAATTTTTTAAATGATCATTTTGCCTTTTTTCTTACCATTTTTTCTCTCTATCATCATTATTACATTCTATAACTTTCTATCATTAAATTTTATTTGAATATATTTTTATTAAGTAATGATATATAAACATAAAATTTTCAAATACAATGATATATAGGTTAATGATTACATTTCACTTTAAAGCAAGTATTCATAAACATAATTTATATCTACAATAATATCACTATCACAATATTTTTATGATATTTTTTGTATAAATTTTTATATATGAACTGTATTTTTCATTTTTATCTCCACCATAATTTTTATTTCTCATCTATTCACCCACATTTATTACATTATTACCAAAAATCGTTATTCACATTTATTACAATATTATTAGTTTTTTTTTTGTATTTTTTTTTTATATTTGGTGAATTTAAAAAAATATAAAATATTATACTTCTTAATTATATTTAGATTAAGTGTATCTAAAAAATAAAAAATTCTTAAAATATTAAAAAAAATCGGTAAAATTAAAAATTAAAAAAAAAACAAAAAATAAAGAAATTTAATTTTTTGTGTGAGTTAAATCAAAAAAAATGATTGTTATTTATTTTGAAATGATATAAACAAAATATTAGTATTATTTTATTATTTTATATGTATAAAGGTTAAGGGACAAATATATCATTTTAATCTGACAGATGAATAAGTGTAATTTTTCAAACGTGAGGGAAGAATCTGTATTAAATAGAAATCTTAAGGGGTGTCAATGTAATTTACTCAATTTTAAAAAATCCAAACTCTAAAACATATGACTTTCGTTTGAAAAAAATTAATTTAGTCGGACCTTTTAATATTTTGACTAATTTAGTGGGTTAAATTAATTTTAATTTTTAACTTTTTAATAATTTTGTAAAAAAAAATAATTTTAATATAATATTTTATTTAATCCGTCTCTAATTTAGTTGGTTAAATTATTTTTAATTTTTAATTTTTAATTTTTTTTTATAATTTTGTAAAAAAAATAATTCTAATTTTAATATAATATTTTATTTAATCCGTTCGCGTCTTGCCAAATCAAGCCATTAGTCAATTTTAAAGTCTTTGACGGAGACAACATGAGAGAAGCGTACTTGAGCGCAAGTGAAGCAACCATCAAATGATGCCACAACATATAGAGCAAGACAAGGCAAATCAAACAAACACTTCAGCCTCTTTATGACCGCATCCTCCACTACACTGACTAGTATAAGAAAAGTAGGTTTGAATGAATGTATCTATCTATCGAGAGTTAAGCCTATAGAGTGATCTCCTAAAGTGTAAGGATCCGACGGTTGAGAATAAAACTCACCAAAACGATGTCGTTTTGGTGAGTATTTTGGAGAAAAAAAAAAAAAAAAAAAAAATTGAAACAGGATTTGAAATTTTTTTCTCAGCCGATTTTCCTCCTTTTTCCAGCAAGCAAACAGAGGTTACTAACAGATAAATTCAGTTCAAATCATCACAAACAAAACAAATACTACAGATCAAACTGCAAAAATGTGTTTAAGTTTCAAAAATTACATAACAGAATCACTAAAATCATAAAAAAAAAACTCAAATCTAAGCAATACTTTACAGAAATTTCATCAATCACAATCGAATCTCAACAAATTCACTTATCAATCGACAGTCTGGTGCTTGTGGTGCTTCCGAATGTACTCCGTCTCCATACAGCTAAATCCATTAGCGTTATTCATAGCTTTCTCCTTCAACACACACACACACACACACACACTCTCTCTCTCTCTCTCTCTCTCTCTCTCTCTCGCTCTCTCTAACACCTCCGATCAACGAAGAACTAGAACAAACTCCGACGAACTCGTTCGATTCGTTTATTGGAGTCAAGAGTTGACTCAGAAGCCTTGGAAACTCACCGCCATAGCTATAGCAGCAGTAGCTTCATTACCAGAAGCAACCTGGTCTTTGTTGAGAGTGAGGGAGGTTTTTTTTTTTTTTTTTTTTTTTTAGAATAAAACTCACCAAAACGACGTCGTTTTGGTGAGTTTTATTCTCAGCCGTCGGATCCTTACACTTTAGGAGATCACTCTAGAGGCTTAACTCTAGAGGATCCTTACGCTGACTTTTTGGGCAGCATAGGTAATGGCTATGGAGCAGTGTGTGGTTTGTTCTGGGGAGTATAGCAGCGGGGGTGACTTTTTGGGCAGCATAGGTTATGGCTATGGAGCATAGGTGATGGCTATATTTGGGAGTATAGCAGCAGGGGTGTATAAAATATTCAATAGTAGTGTGGTTTGTTGATTTGGTGTGGGGTTTTGGTTTTGGATTGTGTGGGTTAATTTGCGGGGATTCATGTTTTTTATTTTTCTAGTTAAGTCCTTCTTAACTCTTGTTTAAAAAAAAATGTGAGGCCAAGGGGTTGGTTGTATGGATGCGAGTAGTAGTAGTAGGGGTAATTTGTACTTTCTGAATCTCTCTCGATGCGTGTCATCTTCCTGTACCTTTAATTTCATGCTGTTAATGAAATTTTGTTTTGCTGATTAAAAAAAAAAAGTGATCCTTATAAAGGATTTTTACACATTGTATTTCTTTAGGCATTTCTTGGTTGGCTTAATACCAGTTTTCCATCAAATTCAGGTGCAGGGCTTCGCCGGAAAAATGCATTGCTGGTTATTGCCCATCCTGATGATGAGTCTATGCAAACTTTAAAGTCTGATTTGTTTTTTTTGGTTGCACAGTTGCATGCAGTTTTCATTGAACTTTGCAACTTTTTATATGCATTGAAATTAAATTATATTGCAATTCTTTTTACAGTTTCTTTTTTCTTTTTGTTGTAAAGATCATGGTTGTAAAATATCATTCTTGACCGTTTTCAGCACTACTAAGATTATTATGTGAATTTCTTGTCCATAAATAGTGTTAAACTTACATTAATTAATAGTGTAATTGATGTTAATAGGGGTTATAAACTGGTCCTACCATTGTGGGTGCTGGGACGGATACAGACCCAATTCCTGGCATTATTTGCCCAGTGTGGCTGTCTCAAACTTGAACCTGTAATCTTATGCTTGACAGCTAGACCTTTCGTTGTTGGACCAGGAAATGTCCCATTATGTTGTGTTGATTTAATGATTCCATAATTATAATTTATTCAAAAAATTTTGAAATTCAAGACTTGGGTGGACTTCCTTTATTGTTCAAATTGTAGTTTATTAATTTTTTGTAGGGCTCTGATTTTGTATTATATCAAAACCATATATTGCATTCTGCAGGTTTTTTACTCCAACAATTAATTACCTTACTTCCAGGGGCCATAATCTACACATTGTGTGCATCTCAACTGGCAATACGTTGATTTTGTTTTATAGTCAATTATAGTTGCAAACCTTTAGGATTTAGATATGCCTTCTTGTTTATGAATAACCTTGGCTTTACTTGAATCAACTTATCATCTGTCTACAGAAATTGAACAATAGTAATGTAGGTCGGAAGGAATCTAAGGGGCTCGTATGTCAGCCACAGTAGGTGGTTAAGTCTGAAAATGTTTTGGTGAATTTTTATTAGGTGCTTCAGATTACTCATAAATAATATCCACTTAAAGAGAGTCAGATGTTTTAGTTAGAGGCACATGACTTATTACTAAATGCTGAATTGCAAGCTAGTTTTAACTTTAATCTTAAAACATTAATTTGTTACATTTTCAATTTTAAATTTTCATACTTGAATTTTCAACATTGTAATTTATCATGCAAAAGTTTGCAGTATAAAATGTTAGTTTTATGAACAGCCCCTATCACGTTGAAGCAAGTTTGTTTGTTTTTTTTTTTTTTTTTTTTTTTTTTTTTTTGTGTGTGTTTTTGTTTGTGTGTGTTACCAAAGCTATGAGCTTGCCTAATGGATAGGGGAAGTTCTTTTTTTCATGAATTGGTGGATCTGTGTTGGATCTTGTAAATCTATAGCATGTTTGCTAAATTTTGTCTTTGTGGATGAGGCTGTGTAAGTACTTTATAGGTGCTACTTGTGTCATACTTCTTAAATAGAAAATGTAAAGATTTTAAATCAACTTTGCATTGTATCTTTCCTACAAATGTTACGTTCAAATACATCATTTCTTTCTTATTTTGTATTGCTTCAATGTATCATTTCTTGGCTTTTCTTAATTTTTTTTATAGTTTTGGCTGTTATGTAGGTAATGCAGATGGCATGGGAAACATCAGGAAAGAAGAGCTCTATCAGGCTTCTGCAGTCCTCAAGGTTATGATTGATCGGGCAAATATTTTCTTTATCTACTGGTGTAATGCTAACCTCTGAGAATGAAAGCTTTCGTTATGCAAGCGTCATCTTTGTTGTGCACTATTTTTATGTTATTTTTAAATTGTTCCTTTATCCAATATTGATAAGCCAAAATAAGGATTTGAAATATAGCTCTAAAGATTAGCCTGTGTTGGTTTTTATATTCTGACATTTTGAATATGTTATTTAGGTTCCACTCCAACAAGTGAAGATCTTGGACCATCCAAATTTGCAGGTTCCTTTCTTAACCTTTGTAAATCCTGTTCCATCTTTTGGTACTGTTTGAAATACAATATTAATGCAGAAGTTCAAATCAATCTATTTGTCATTATTAGGATGGTTTTGGCAAAGTATGGAGGTGTGATTTATTGGCAAGAATAATTGAAGAGGAAATTCTTAGTCATGCCATCGATTTGGTAAGATATGGTTGCAGTGCTCATCCAAGTTACTTTGCCGTGGTTTCTTTATTTAGCTTTTTTCCTTGGTATATATTCTACACTTGCTTAGCGGTCTGATGAAGGACTGTCTAAACTTTTGGCTTTTCATTTTCCTGCTAATTGGTGTATGTTTGATCATATTCTGTTCCATACATTACTTTCTATATGGTGCTCTCAGATTATTACTTTTGATAACTATGGTGTTTCTGGTCATTGTAACCATCGTGACGTCAATCAAGGGATAGGGTAAGTTGATTTTGGTTTTATTTTACTTACTTTATTTTGAATTGCACTCAATCAATTTCTTGATTTCCTATGTTCAAAGAAATTTATATCAATTTATATCTCCAAGTGAGTGCCTATATCAATTTCTTTATTTTTATATCATGCGCTTGCAATGCATTCACCCCGTCATATAAAAATAGCCAAAAGATCCTCATGTGGTTTTGGAAATTTTGCACTTTACCTCCCTACTCTAAAAAATTCCATCCACAATAACAGAAAGTGTGTTATACTCACTCACTTGGAGAGTTTGACATAAAAAAAAATTCAAACTTTAAGTTAAGAGGACAAATTTGTCCTTCCTTTCATCATCTTCCTTCTCACACAAAAAACCAGAGAACCCCTGCGGGTTGTCTTTTGTACCTCACCTCTTAACCCACAGCACCACCACTCCTCCCACTATTGCCACCGCCTCACCCCACCGCTGTCACTCCCAAAGTCACCACCGCCACCTCACCCCCACTACACCAGATCCACACAAATCATCCCCTTAAAAATCAAAACCAGAACAATTGCACACATATTCCAGTCAACCCAGAACAAGTGCACACACCAATCAACCCATCAAATATCAAACCCAAGTACATTAAAAAATAAAGAAAAAAAGATCAGCATCATCACAAAGATCCCTCAGGTTCTCATCTCTGATTCACTGATTCTTTCAACACCCATGGAGTTTAAAGGGTAGATTTTGATGCGTCAAGAACTCAACTTGCTGGGTGACGTCTAATTGTTGGGGCAAGAACTTGACCTTGATGTAACACAACCCTTGCCGGAGAAATTTGATCAAGTGGTCCGATGTTTTAGGTGCATCTTCTATGGGGATTTGTGGGATTTAGTTTGTAAAGACCTCTTTTTTGTTAAAATGAATCAGAAAGTTTGTAACGAGCTCTTTGATTATTCCTTTTCTGCACAAATCAAAGTGACTGCCTTGTAACAAATACTGATAAAGTGATGCATGATAATTCCTTAATGGCATATGCATGGTTGATAATTGTTAAAATATAAAATTAAGTTTAAACTTATAATTTAGCTTATAAAATTAAGATGTTTGGGTTAATATGCGATTTAATCGGTTAGTATGTGACTAAGATAAAAATATTGGCTTTTAAAATCAGGGTGTTTAGGTTAATGTGTGATTTAATTAGTTAATATACAATTAACATAAAAGGTTATATCTATAATAGAAGCGAGGGAAACAGAAATAAGGTAGAGGCGTATTAAGGTCATTCTTCACTTACTGTTAACGGAATTAGTGTTGCATTTTAGTCCAAAATCACAAGAGTTCTCTTTGACTATTTTTAAATGATGGGCTGCTCATGGGTCAAACCACAAGGGGGTAAAGTAAATTTTGCCCTTTTTTCATTAACTTTTTTTTAGTACTCTTTTAGGACTAAATGAAGGGCTTGGGTGTTTGTTTGAGCTGGGAGGAAATGACTTTGAGATATATGACTCAGAGAGAACAGTGAGTCACATAGGTCGGCTTTATATTTCAGCTTCTTATTGCATTATTAAATACCATGGATTTTTCTATTTCCATGGCATCTAGAGAACCAAATGCATCATTAGTATAGTGTTATTGCAAAGAAAGCTCCAATCAGAATTGGATGATTGCAAAACAGAATTGATCTATTTTCGAAAAAAAATATAATTGGTGATATTCTCATACAATACTATAAATGATGTTTTTACATAAAACAGAGTACTTGTTTTAAATGTTATGGAAAACAAAATGGAAAAAATGTTGCAACTTCAAAAGAAACAATTTCATTTGGATAATGCTGTAAAACAACATATATATACACATAATCCTCTTTTTAATGAAACAATTGGGAGTTTCTAAACCCACCACACACCCGCCATGTTCATCTCTACACCTATATCCACAAATTTTTCTTCGTAACATACAAGATATACAATGCATATAGTGAGTGTAGAGAGAAAATAAGCGAGTGTATTTAGAAGCTCCAATGAATTTTTTTCATAAATGCAGCCTCTGCTTCTCCCCCCCAATTGGGAGTTTCTAAACCCACCACACACCCGCCATGTTCATCTCTACACCTATATCCACAAATTTTTCTTCGTAACATACAAGATATACAATGCATATAGTGAGTGTAGAGAGAAAATAAGCGAGTGTATTTAGAAGCTCCGATGAATTCTTTTCATAAATGCAGCCTCTGCTTCTCCAAAACCTGCTACTGCTGGTAATAGTAACTGCAATGTATGTACTCTCCCTCCTCCCCCCCACCCCACCAAAAAAAAAAATGGAGTAAATTCTTGAGTTTTTATTTATTTATGGGTACCTAGAATTATGGTTCAACAGTAATAATAATATACATTCACAAAAAGATCGTACACAAGCTGTATTGAGATTTATCATTTTTAAATACTTTTCTCATTAGTGACCTCCTAATTACAATGTCATTGACACTGAGCTGTTATGGCGTCTAATTGTTAACAGGGAAGTTACTTTCAAAAGGATTAAGATCAAGCAGAAATGATTAATGTTCCTATTTTGGTTTGCTGATTAACTTTTTAGTTTATTCATATGCATCAGCAGTTTCTGGATTAATTTGTGTTTTTATTTTTCAGGTTAGAAATTTTTTGGAGAGATGCAAAATATGGTCCAAGAATTAAAGAACTTAGTTTTTTAAGTTTTTTCATTTTTTAATATATGTAAGCACAATTAATTTTTTTTTTGTTTAATTCCTTTGTATATACTTTTGAATATTTAATTTTCATTTGTGAAATATATGACGTTATTCTATTCAATATGTGGTTATGATTCAAAATATAGTATATAGTGTGTATTACATTCTTCAAATGTGCATACAAAAATAATATTGATTATTTTTCAAATATGTCGAACCCTTTTTTTATTACAGATTTTATTAGTTATTAAGCACACTTAAAAGATATGATCTAAATGTTATTAATCACACTTAAAAGGTGTGATCTAAATGTTATTAATCGCACTAAAAAAGTGATTAAAAATGATCCTTTTTTATCGCACTTCCAAAGATCACACTTAAAAAGTGTCATTAAAAATGACTCTTTTTAATCACACTTCCAAAGATCACGCTTAAAAAGTGTGATCTAAATATTTTTAATCACACTTAAAAGGTGTGATCTAAATGTTATTAAGCACACTTAAAAAGTTTGATTAAAAATGACGATTTTTAATCATACTCCCAAAGATCACACTTTAATAAAACTTAAAAGGTGTGATTAAATAACATATATCACACAAAAAAAGTGATCTTTATTTGTTTTTGTAGTAGTGGCCGTAGTCCACGTTTATCTTTGGCATTTTCCCCTGGTGAATACGTATCATTTTCCAAAAAATTCCAAATGTCGTAATATCAGGGATTCTTTTCTTCCACCTCATCTATTGCGGTTACATAAAGGGTCACATAAGCGGGCCTATATTTTTGTTCAATAATGATCAGACGTATCTTGACTCCAAGTGGGATGTCTACCATAGAAAATAGAGTTGCCAATACATCAACGAACCGGTTGTTCTTTCTTAGCAGATGTGTAAATGTCAACTTTTCAAACCTCGAAATTAGAATATCCAGGTCCTGATGGTATATCTTCATGTTCTCTTCTTTGACCTTCCAATCCTCGTTGGCTTGAGACACAACCAGGTTCGAGTCTCCGACGACGTCCAACCTTATTTCCCCTAGTTCTAGGGCAGCTTCCAAACCAGCAATACACGCCTCATATTCTGTTTCGTTGGTGGACACTCTGAAATGGAGTTTGAAAGCTAAGGGTATGTGGGAATCATCGGGTGCTATAAGCAATACACCTATCCTATAACCGTACTGATTAGACCTTCCGTCAAAGTACATTGCCCATGTTTCCTCTTCTTTCTGCAAAATTTCTTTATCTGGGAATAGGTACTCTACTACCTCATCTCCTCCTACTAGGTGGTCTGATAGGACTTCTGCTATAACTATCCCTTTAACTGATTTGCGTGTGACATACTTGAGATCAAATTCAGAGAGCAAAAGCAACCAACGAGCTAGCCTACCCGTAAGTACCAGTTTCTCAAAGAGATATTTAATGGGATCTAATCTCGAAACCAGAATTACAGTGTGAGCTAACAGGTAGTGCCTCAACTTCCTGCTAGCCTATACCAAGGCTATGCATGCTTTCTCCAGGGGAGTGTAGCAGGTCTCATAGTCCAACATCTTCTAGCTTAAGTAGTAGACGGCCTTCTCCACCTTAGCATCAAATTCTTGAGCGAGCATACACCCTATGGTCGAATTTGTTATCGACATGTACAAGATTAGAGGCTTTACCAGTTCTAGTGGTGATAGTATAGGCGGATTCTGCAAGTATTGTTTGACTTGTTCGAAGGCAAACTGGCATGGATCATCCCATTGGAACTTCTTCTATTTCTTCAAGAGACCAAACAGTGGTTCACAAGTCAAGGTTGATTTTGAGATAAACCGTCTTATGAATTGCACTATACCCAGAAAGTAGCGCACCTCCTTTTTAGTCCTTGGTGGTGTCATTTCTAAGATGGCATTCATTTTGGAAGGATTTACTTCAATTCCCCTCTGTGTGATCAAAAAACCCAGCATTTTTCCCATAGTCACCCCAAAGGTGCATTTATGTGGGTTCAATCTCAGTCTGTACTTCTTGATCCGTTGAAAGAATTTTTCCAATACGGTGTAGTGGCCCTCACGCTTCTTGTACTTGACAATCATGTCATCGATGTACACCTCAATTTCTTTGTGGATCATGTCGTGCAAGATCATGGTTGCAGCCCTCTAGTAAGTAGCCCTAGCATTTTTCAACCCAAAAGATATGACTTGGTAGCAGTAGGTACCCCATGGTGTAGTGAAAACAGACTTTTCTTTGTCCTCTGGTGCCATCAAAATTTGATTATACCCGAAAAACCCATCCATGAACGAAAGCAATGCGTGGCTTGTGGTGAAATCCACCAACTTATCGATGTGCGGCAGTAGAAAGTCGTCTTCTGGACTAGCTCTATTCAGATCCCGAAAGTTGACATAAACCCTGATTCTACCATCCTTCTTTGGAACTGGGACGATATTAGATAGCTAAGTCGGGTACTCAGACCCCATCAAGAAACCTACCTCAATCTGTTCGGTGACCTCCTCTTTAATCTTCAAAACCCAATCTGAGCGAACTCTATGTAGTTTCTGCTTAACTGGTCGGGCCTCAAGGTCAAGAGGGATCCGATGCTGTACAATCTCAGGATCGATTCTAGGCATGTCTTCGTAGGACCACGCAAAAACATCTTTGAAATCTTTTAATAAAGTGATTAAACGCTCGCGTTCCTCCAAAAACAACATGGACCCAATTTGGATCAAGCGAGCATCCTCCTCAGTACCCACGTTAATTGCTATGACTTCGTCCGTACAAGGCTTAATACGTCTCTCTTTCTCATGATCAACCAAAATTTTTAAAGCCTAAAGAATTTCTTCTTCTTCTTCTTCTTCTTCTTCTTCTTCTTCTTCTTCTTCATTTAAGTCAAAATTTTGAAAATCAAGCTTAGTACAACAAACCAAAGGCACAGAGAAGTAAGCAGAATCCACAGCATTTCCATTCAAAAAGTCTGGATCTTTGGTTACAGTGGACTCAAAACAAAAGCTGAATGACGACCTAGACAGGACCTTAGTATCCGGGTTACCACTGCCGGAAGTACCAGACTCAAAAGAACTCAAATTTGACTCCGACTCCACAGACTCGATGGAATCAGATTCGGACTCATTATCCGATTCAGAACTACTGATGGCGCCCTTCTCAAACTTCTAGACTAGGCATGAAGTCTCAAATGCGTCCACGATGAGACCAATAAAATCTACTGTTGGTGTATCCCCGATCATTGAGATAGTAAAACTATCCCCCAAAGTTGGCAGACTCAACTCCAACATTGGAACCTGCTAGTAGGTCAACCAATGCTTTCCCCAACAACTCCTCTTTGTCGATATCCAGGCTTCTTACCTTGATCTATATTAGTGCATAGGTCTGTCTGCTCATCCTCCTCTTTTGGTAATTGATGCTTGAAGAAGATCTCAAGCCCCAAGTACCTTGTCTTTGTTTCCTGGTCAAACCAAGGCTCTAGAAATCCAAAGAAGGGGAAATCTTCCCCTTGGCGGACAGAGCGTCTGTTCAGGGTTCTCCGTATTGGCTTGTGGACTAACTCATACTGCCTCCCAGTCCTCTTTTCTTTAATTCTTCCTCTCAACTCTTCCCCCTTCCTTTGCCAGTCTGTAGCGGTAGGTTTGTACCCCAGCCCAAAAGCATGTGGGCTATGATTTATCTCCTTGGCAATAGTACCTCATTGCCTGCCACTCCTGCCCAGTCATGATCCCGAAATATGCCCTTGTTTGTTCATCATGTAGATGGACTGGGTGCTCACGTAGTTCCCGTCGCCGTCCGCTATAATAGATTGGACCAACTAGGCCCTCTGCCGAGGAGAAGCC